ATTTTGTATAAAATATTTGCTGTAGAACTTAGTTATAGCTTACCACTCATTATTAAGAACGAGGTCCTGATTAAAAGCAAAGAACAAAACCCCCAGTGCTCATATGTGAAATTATGTAATCAGGTAGTGTAAGTAAACAGCTTAAGGTTGTTTCACTTGCTCTAAACTGCCAATGCAATATTTCCACAGTGTTTTCTTCACAGTCTTTAGTTGTTAATAAAAAAATAATGAAGATAATGGGAAAAAAAAGCTTGCCAGAAACACACAGTTATAAGCTTAAACAAGGAGACTGCTGTTGCATTGCTGCCTCTAATTGACATGTATAGCCATGGTTCCTGCGTTTAATAAATTCGACTTTGTGATGCATGTTATATTAATGGATTTTTTTCCTTTGGTGGAGCTGGAATGATAAAACAAAATTAGTCAGCCTAGAAGTTATGGTAGACGCTCCATCCCCTCAGGTTGAATGAGGACACAAAAATTTGCACATTTGAAAGTTTCCCCACAGGCAATTCAGGGGAGTGATGTCCACAGCACTTTTGACTCATGTGGAGTTTGAAAAATGCAAGTAATGAGAGGTCATTCTTAATTCAAGGTGTGAGGTCTACAGTGATGATAAGCACTGAGGGAAAAGGGATTTTTTTTTTTTTTTAAGTAATGTCCTAGATTGAACTTGCAGTATTTCATAGATATATATTGAGGACAAATGAGCTGTAAAAATCTTAGCATCTTCAAAGAAATGCCTTAGGAGCTGACAGGGACACGAGCTGTGCCTCTAGAACAAGGTCAGATGTGAGCCTGTTGATGTGTTAAGTCATGTGGATGTGACTCCATGAGGTCTGTTTTTGGTGGGCTCTGGATAGAAAACAGTAGGTCAGTTTACTTGACAAATATGCCCTTAGATGTTTAAAAAAAAAAAAGAGCAGACGCACCATAAAAAAGGGGTCAGCTGTCTGAACCCACGTGCTGAATTGGGTTGTTTATGGAAGAGGCCATGGGTGGTGTTCCAGCCAGAGCTGAGATACGAGCACTGCTGCGGATGTCTGAGTCTGGATGCCGATGGGGAGTAAATCAGATATGTGAAGCCTGGGACACTTCATTTAGCCTACGGTGTTAATGTGTCAAAAAGGATTACGTTCCACGGCAAATATGATACAACCGCACATGCAGGGGATTTGCTTAGAACAAGAAAAGATCCTTAATGTTTAAGTCCAAATCTGCCATTTTGGAAACAAAATTAAGTATTTTCTAAAATATGAATCGGAACATTAAGTGTAGGGTTTAATCTTTAACCAGCCCATAACCGTGTATTTTACAGGGTGCATTTGGAGAGTGCATGTCAGATGCATTTATACTCCTATTGAAAATGTCACCATCTGCACAAACATGCAGAGGGAGCGGGCAGCGAGAGATCAGGAGAGCACACAGTCTTGCAGATGAACAGATAAAAGCTGCAGATATTCAAACAGACAGACGAACAGAGAGAAATCTGCCTTTCTTCGAACAGAAAGGCTTTGCATGCTGGGAAGTCAAAGTAATAATTAGAAAATGAATGGGGTTCAGACGGCCAGCCTGAATTCTCCTACTTTACATTCTACTAACTCTCTACTTTCACAGCTCAATCAACCTAATGGCCAAACAGGCCAGGAGTCAGTCAGTAATTATATTCATACTTTACAATGGACCACCTGCTATTTTTTTATTTTTTTTTAACAGTTCACAGGTTTCCCAAAATCAGCCTATAAAAAACCCATAACAGAAACAAATAGCTTGGTATAAAAAATTTTTTTACAACAAAAAAAGTTCTTCGACTTTTCACACTGGTATATCAGCAAGACAATATCTATTTGAGCCATTCGCCATTCAGTTAAAAATGAAAATAAATATGCACGGTTGATTAAGTGTCAGGTAATGAAAGCATTATCAAGAAAAAGTCCAGTATTTAATAAACAAAACAAAAAAAACTGTGGTAGTAAAACAAAGTACGCAAGCAACCTTTAGCTAAATCAGTTTAAGCATTAAAAACAATATATTGAAAATGGGTTGCATCTGCAGTTGGGGCTAAAACAATCACCCCAAAAGACTTATTAAGGGCCTTAACGAAAGATGTCCAATTCCTTCAGTTAAGGCATCCCTGAACGAGAAATATGATAAGACCACTTAATCTAAGCAAAGCTATGGTAGGATCGGACTGCAGCACTGACATCCATAGCCCTCTTCACAGATGAAAGTAATACAAAAATGCAGAGTCTGGACAAGAGTGAAGACTCAAAATTAAGCCGTTATCAATCCAGTGTGAAGATTTCACTATTAGTGATGATTAGGAGAGCTTTGTAATCCGCTGGCATGTGTCCACTGTTTGTAATCAAGTCAGAAATAAGCTCAACTGTCTGAATATTGTAGACCACAATGCACGCTTCCCCTCAATGACTAGCTTTATGGAGCTGCTGATTTTATTTTCACACAGGAATTGGCAGCTCCTGCCAAAAGTACTAATTCCTGCTTTATTTGCATTGGTCTTTCTGTGGTTGGCTGATCCAACAATCTGTGAAAAACACTACAGCCAACAATGCAGATAAACTTGAGTACATTAAAACCTCAGCAAAGGCCTTGGATGATCACCCTCATGCTTTGTCGCATTGATGTGGTAAATAATGCAGAAGGGTACCAGAGCGCATGGGTGCATAACCTAAATAGTGTATAAACACACTTTCAGTTTCGTAAATATGTTTCCCAAATAAATTGGCAGAGATAATCCCTTAAAACAGTTCGATCTTTATGTCATCAATAATCACAAGCTTAATTCAGTGAACTAAATGTTGTGATGACTTAAACACTCCTGTATGTGAAAGAATTCGGTGCTGTGTTATTACGTCCTGCATTCTCAGTGTTACCAGACTGAGAACAATCATTCTCACAGCTTCCAATACGTTTGGTGCTTTTCAACATCATGCAGGCATCCTGCAAAATGCATCCTCACTGAACTCTGTGGTCATTTTAGTAATCATCTGCCTGTCGAAAATAAAACAAGCATCTGCTTACACAGCAGGGGCCTGCCATCCCCAGCTTGTATACAGGGAGCATTGTTTGCTGCTCTCGGTTCCCACTGACGTTAGGCGATATGTGAGTGGTTTCACAAAGGGTGGCTGTCATGGTTTTCCAAAGAAAGGGCAAACTACAGATGATGTCATCTGGTAACAGTAAATCGGAAAGTTTGTCATCATTCACACTCATACTGCACAGTGAAATTGACTTGTGAAGAAGAAATGGAAGAGATTCCTTTCTTAGAGGAGAAAGATTATGAAACGCCTTTTGCTGAAAAAGGTTAGAATAAATGTGACGTTTACAATTTTGTGTAAAATATTCAAATACAGGCGATTGTCTTATCTCTAAATGAACCAAATATGGAAAATGCCACAAAAACAACTGTGAGGGAGATGAGGGGTGTCGCGTCAAATTGGAGATTATTTACTATAACCAGAGAAAATTTGCAGCTGAAAATCTAAAACTATATAATTGTGCTATATTATCATGAATTTAAAAGCTTCTAAAAAAATCTTCCTGGCAAAAATCTTCCTATTAGAAAACAGATGCCGAACAGGTAATTTTTGCATCTATACAGGACGCGCAGGCATCAATTTCACAGTAACGTGTTCCGTTTATTGTCAGGTGTTAAAAAACTGGAAGGTTTGAATACTTCCACTCCTGCTAAACAATCTGAACAAGACAAGAAGTCATAAATCTCAAACCTTGTTGCACAAGGACAAGATTAGTCTCGAACAATCTCTTTCAAATAGAGAAAAATATGTTACATCTAGTGTGTCTCAATTTTTCCTTCATCACACAGAGAATATAGACCATGCAGGAGCCGATTTAAAACCAGGGATGTCAAACTTAAAGGTTTTAACAAAACTTGTTTACCTTGATAACCTTACCCTATTCTATATTCTTTGCAAACAGCCATGATTTAAGACAAGGAAGTCTATCCTTTAACTTTGTGGATAGATATTCTGCTCCCTACGTCTCCAGGAGGCCTCAATTTCTCACCTGCCATTTTTGGAAGACTTGATGCCTGATGTAACTGGCAGCCGTGGGAGGTTGCTAGTAAATGTCAAAAGAGGAGAAGAGTTGTGGGTCCTGATTGTCACACCAATGCACCAGCAGAGTATTCTGAGATTTTTTAGTTTTAATAAAATGTCTATGCACTTTCTACAAATGGGCCTGCATGAACTCCAGTATTTCCACTGGAATACTGCAAGTACTCCAGCACACTTGGAGTAACTGCACTGCCTCTGGGAATGGGACTGGAGTCAACCGCCTTCAATTAAAGAGCACAGCAATTTTGAAAATCCTGATTTAACATCATAATTTTGGTTTGGAGAGAGTTTGATTATGTGAGAGTGTGACATTAGTTTTTATGTTGTTTATTTTAAGCACAGCAGGAGAGAACCACTGCGAAAACTTGTATCCAAACAACCAAAAGACACTAATCAACTTAGTGGCATGAAGAGATAAACAGAACATGTAATAAACTGATGATTTAAAAGCTGAAAATAACAGAGAAAATGGGGATAAAAGAGTGGCTTTAAGTTTAAAGAGCAGATTAAATCTGTTTTTGAAATCTGCCTGCAATGAACATAAGGTTATGTTGGCATTATAAATCTGCAAGGTTTTAGTGTATAGATACTAAAAAAATATGCAGGAAAAAGTAATCAAATCTTTGTAAATACAAAAGAAAACAATTAAAAGGCACTAGACACTTCCAAATTAAATTGTTGTGAGAGAATTTTAAGTAAAGAAATTAATTTTGTCACTTTGTTTGATTGCTCATGGATCTGCACGAGGTGCCAAAAATGCTGCTGCACCAACAGCTGCAATACCTGACATTTTCTTCCCAAGGTTTGTTCTTTAGAGATGTTCTACTCAAGGGAAATTATTTTTGTTGTTGTCTGATTGACTTATGAGAGTTTTCTGACAAAGCTTCTCTCCTTGTCTCTTAGGAAACATGGTGAGCAAGGAGGGAGGCAAATGCATGCTCATCAACTCAGAGTCCGACTCAGAGGCACCGCCTTTGCCCTCCACCTCGCTAGCACTGGAGTATTCCCTGGAAGCAAGTCGACAGGTGAGAAAGAGAAACAAAGCCTTGCAAGTGCGCTTCAAGGATATCTGCGAGGCACAGAACGAGCAGAGGGAGGCTGAGCTGCAGGCGGCAGGGAAAGGTGGCAAACCCATGTCATACAAAGTGGCGTACCGCAAGTACATGACCGTCCCCGCCCGCAGATCCATTCCGAATGTCACCAGGAGTACGGGCGTCCAAACGTCCCCAGACTTGAAGAAACGTTACCAGACGTTTCCCTTTGAGCGCAAAAAAGGCCACACATTTAAACATGTGGCAGCTGTGGAAACATATAAAGGTCAGAATAATGGCTTTGTCATGGAGGCAAAGCAATCTAAAGCGGCTGAGCAGGGTTTAGACGACGAGGAGGAGGAGGGAGTAACAAGGGGGAGAGGAGTACTGAGGACCAGGGCTCTGCTCCATACTAATGAGTGCATTGCAACAGTGGAGCAGCACAGTGCCCCTGATGGCCTGTGCTCTGACGGTCTGATGCTTAGTTGCACTGCAGACACAGATTGTCTTGCAGGTACGCCAAGAGGAAGTGGAGCAGGAACACAAGGCGAGTACCAGCTCTGCAGCGTCCAGTCCAAAGCCGGAACTGGATTACAACACTCAGAGTCTGACATAGACCGCCTAGGCAAAAGGCAACTGCTCAATTTGGAGGAAGGCTCTTCTCGAACTCTCCCAGACCGAGCGTCCAAGGTTACAGGGCCCATCGCCTGGAACTCTCTCACACAGGTGGAGTGTCTGGATAGTCCCTCTGCTCAGAGCAAGCGGAAGAAAGGCCTACAACTAAACGGGCTGTCGAGTGAGACGCTACCACGAGCCAGCAGGGGCTGTACGTCGCAGGCGCAGTGCAGTACAGGACAGCTTTCAGCCCGGCCTATACGGGGCATGGAGGAGCCTCTGTCTGGCTGCACAAGTGGTCATGCTGACGGGGCCTCGTCTCACCAAACACAAGAAACCTGCAAGCAAATAGTGCCTGTAAACCAGGATGGGGATGTAAAAGCACAGCTTCAAGCCATGGAAAACCTCATCAGCTCCAGCCAAGAGACCATCAAGGTGCTGCTGGGGGTCATCCAGGAACTGGAGAAGGGAGAGGCGCACAGAGAAGGGTAAGAGAACTTTGCTCACCCCTACACCTTTGCACGAGAAATTTCTAAATCCATTTTTACTCTGCCATGTTACAGGATATAGCTTTCACATTTTATTTAATTATATTAAACTACATAAAAGCTATTTTCATGCACATTACATAGAGGCCTAGATGTTAATATAGCTGTGAAAATTAAACAGCAGCCAGTCTTTACAGCAGTTCCTTTCTTTTTCAGACACAGAATATGTTTAATAAAGGCAGTTTTTGTCTCACACTTAAAAACATGGTCTTAAGCACAGTAAAGTCAACATTTTTGTTATTTTTGCTCAATGAATTAAGTACTAAACCCCTCCCCAGCATTGTTTTGAGGGAGTTTTGGGTTTTATAGACATCCCTTTGCAGTGCTCTGACCGTGCAAAATAATTTCCATGGAAAATCTCCCTCCAGATATTCTCAGCCGCTTCACAGAAAACATTGATACAGTTCTTTAAAAAAGTACCTTCCCTTCCCTGAAGGCATGGTAGGTTTATTTATACAGCACATTTCAGTAGCAAGACGATTCAAAGTGCTGTATATATATAAAAAAAAAAAACAACATAATAGACAAACACAAAGAGAAAGGTGTATTGCAATGGCACAGGGGAGGAGAATATAAAATGACTTTCCACGTTATATACTCTATACGTTTACTTCAAAATCAGGGAACCTGTATAAGAATTACATGTATACACTGTACATTCATCTGTCTATCTAGTGACTGTAATTTCTTCCTATGGGTCTTTGCGAACATTTCCAGCTCAGCCAGTTTAGACTAAGTGTCCTTGCCCAGTAATTTGTAAGTCTGGCCAGAGGTTGATGTGGTTAAATCGAGGACTGGATTTTAACTGTGTCTTTCTATCCAATACTGTAACTGTACTTTAATGCAAGTCATTTCTTTGTTTCCACGGTTATATACAGTATATAGGGTTATATATACGGTTATATACAGTATATAGGATAGTTATATAGGATTGTTGTCCTGTTTGAAGGGTGATCTCTGCTCGGTCCTCATTAATCACTGGCAGGTTTTCTTCCAGGATTCCTCTATATGTAGCTGCAAACATCTTCATTTGAACCCTGGCCAGTTTCTGCTGAAGAACTGCTGTATCTCCACAGAATATTGTAAAGAGAAGTGTTCGTGTTCTGACAGACAGAAAGATGGTATGCAGGCTAAAAGATGTAAAAAAGCAACTGTCTCTTCCAATTTTTTTTTTTTTTGTGCGTCCCCTAAATGGCTTGTGGGATTCTGCAAGCTGGACGTCTAATGGCTTTTTAACCACCAACCATTTTCTATTGATTCCAAAGATTAAATAAAGCTAGGATAAGTGGGGTTCCTCAAACAATTCCTCCACCTGAGCTATAGACGTCTGCAGGTCTTCCAGCATCAATATGGACCTCCTGGTTGCTTCTCAGATAAATGATCCTGTTGGTTGTTTAGGTGGTCTATCATGACTTTGTCAGTTGGAAGCTGGAACGCAACCTATCCATTTTCTGATGATTGAAAAGTGCTCTATGAAATGTTAAATATCTGAGTTCATTAAGAATTCTCAGGTTGATCCCTGATATGTATGTTTTATCCCTTCACAGAACAGAAGCAACGATGTGGAGATTGAATTACACTTAGGTGGCCACGCTTACTAGTTAGGTGTCTATTTGCACTCGATTTAATCTAAAAATCTAGAGAAGATCAGTTGTTTTGAAATAGGGCTGGCCGATAAACTGGATTTTTACCATTACAGTCATTCGCTACAATAACCAGCGACAATTTTCTCATGTGGGTAAAAGAAATAAACTTAATTCTGCCATTTTGCCTGTGTGCGCTGGTGGCTGGTATTTCTTTCCCATTTAAGACAGCGCAGCACGTGTGTAATCACGTGACTCCACCGATCCAGTGAGAAGCATAAAGAGAATGGGGGATGAGGCCTGTGAAGAAGCGTCTACCACAGCTGTAAACCAAATTACAGCAGTTAATCTTGTGGAGCCATGTGAGTTCAGAGTGCACAGAAGAAGAAGTCGAGAGTGCGTTAGAGCCGAGCAGCGGCAGACTGGTTTTAAGTTCGGGTGTGCGAGTTTAAACGATGCATATTCACTGCACGCTTAGTTCAGTGGCACCAAAATTATGCCTTAGATGTTGAGCAAAAGAACACGAAATGTTGAGTTCAAAGATGTGCAAAAGGCTCCATTACCTTTGTGCAAAAATGTTTGTAAAAGAGGAAATTAGACATTTTTGAATGTTAAAATCTGAATGGGTACAAGACTTTAATATTTATTTGATATCTGTAATATGCAGTAATATGTAATGTGATTTGTTCAATAAATAAATTATAAATAGATCAGTTACATTTCCTGCACAAGCCTTTATTTCTGATAGAGGAGCCGGAGCATTTATCGTGTACATATCACTATCGAGGTAAAACTGCCGTGATATTTATTTGAGGTCATATCGTCGAGCCCTAGTTTGAATATTTCTAGATCACACTGTATCACCTTCCTCTACCCTCTACTAAACAAAATATCTGGGCATCAGGAAACGATTAAAACAAAGCCACAGTTTTCTTTAGAGCAAATAAGAATATCGTCTTTCAAATTTAGATCTAGAAAAATACACCTCATACTGAAAACATCCCTTTCCTCTTAACCAGTTTCTTTAGCAAAAAAAACCCTAAAAAACACCCGTCTTGACAGCAAATTACGTCCAACCTTATCCGACCATACACTCTCCAATATTTATCTAGTACATGTGAGTACTCAGCAAAATCCTCAAACTGTGAAAAGGCCATTTACTGTCAAATGGATTTGGAGTTTACACAAAAGGGCAGTAGATAGCATCTGGTCTGCTGAAACAGAAGACAGTCTGTCCAAAGTGACCCAGTAAACAAAAAGGACCATTTGTTGAGCCAAATGCAAAAGCTCAGAACCTCAGATATACATCTGCTTTTATAAGCACAGTGTCAAAGTCTGTGGGAAGAAAACTGAACTTTAAAGCCAACATAGCAAACGTATCCCACATTTGACATACTTAGGGTAAGGTAGCGAAAATATGACTGGTGAGATGAGGGATACATTATAAAACAGGGCTTGGGCGAGATGTCTTTCCCCATCTTAAAAAGTTACTTATCCTCTTTCAATCTCAAGTAAGGTAACAGTAATCCCTTTATCATCAAACTTATAAAGAAAGTGCTGATTGAAAAGTAAACAGTAGAACGGCAGAATGGCGGCACATCTTCAAGCGTTGCAGAGCACATCTGCCTTATCAGATGTGCCTGAAGTGGCAGGTGTGCAGGAGAAGGTTCTATAAGCGTAAATGTATTACCGCCGTTTATTAGCACCATATGTTCAGAGGACAGAAAGAAGGAAAAAAAATTACATTTCTGATTATTAATCACTAAAACTATGTCTTCAGTTGGAGTCAGTGGGCAGCATAATCCCCCTTGTAATCCATTCAGGCTAAATTAAAATATTTTTTGCCTATAAAATACCAGTTTTATTCTAGTACATGTTGGAGATTAAGTGAGTTGCAAAAAAAAAAAAAAAAAAAAAAAATGGATTCTGCTTCTATTAACACTACACCAGCTTTTTTTATTGTTATTATTGTAACCAGTACAGCAGGTGGAGCCACCTATAAGCTGTGGCTGAATAGCTGCAGTTATGTCTTATTTTGTAAATAAGAGGCGTCCTGATGTAATCCAAAGTATCCGGCCATAACGTCACATTTTCAAATGACTTTAAACCCGTTTTCAAACTCAACAAAACACCTGATACTGGTGCCCAGATTGTGATTTAAAGCCAATTTAATCAATTCCAGCCAGATTCTCTAAGCACAGCTTTTAAAACTATATTAAAGGCTAATAATGTGAATCTAATTAATTTGTTTTTCCCTAATAATGTATAGTACTTATTGAATGAAGGGCTTACAGAGCTGTTTTAACCCTGTGGCATATTTTTGTTCTTTCAGCTCTAGCTTTGGAGTCCTTGAAGCTTGTTCTCCAGGCATATGCCTTGTAAAGCATGAAATGTTCTGTTTAAAAATATATTTTTACATTTTTAATCATCTTCCAAATCTGTGAGAAAAAGATTGAAAGGACTATAATGGATTTAAGATATGTTGGGCACAGCTAAAAACTGACAGCCTTTAAGGCAAACAGATAAAATTAACCTTTTAACTTTATTTCTTATGACACAGCTATTAGCTATTTCTCTTCTTAAATAAATGTGAAAGCTGAGGGAGCAGAGAAAGAACTCAGCATTAAAAGTCTCATTTAAATAAGGTCACTTCATCTATATTTATGCTTCAAAGCATACTTCACAAACTATTTCGTGCAGACTGTTGGCTGATTTACAGAAATTGTGCATTTTTAGTTTTAATGTATTTTGAGAGAAAAAAAAAAATCTAATTTTTTGTCTTAGACTTGCTGATTACCTTTTAAAGAGAAATTAACCACTTTGCTAACTGCTGTATTTCTACATAGAAGAACACTAAACTGCATCATTGCTGTCAAGTCATCTCCCATAAATGAACATTTGGATCTGCACCACACGGCTTGGGCACATTGCGTGTTGGCAGACTGGAGCCAATTAATTGCCCTCTCAGGGACTTGTTGCTAACCTGTCTATTAGCACTCTGTATGTGTGCTTGTTTTCTCACTGCTGGACAGCCTCCCACGCAATGACCTTTAAGGAAGCTCTCCTGGTCGCACCAAGGGTGGAGGGTGTATAAAAATGCCGTTAATGGCACTTTTGGCTTCACTTTCCCCGGGGAAGGTCTGCCAAAATGAGCCTCGGTCTCCCATTTTCTTTTATGAACAGACAGAGAGCAAAAAGTAGGAAGAGAGATTGAGAAGGTGACGGACAGAGAGAATCCTGGGAGGCTGTGGAGATCATCTGATCCAGTTGGCCATGCTGTTGGCAGCTTAATGATTGGCTGCCTTAATGGGAGGGTTTAAAGGCTTTTATGCTGCACTGAAATGTAAACCTGCAAAGGCAAATTATTTAGGTTTAACACATAAATAATCCCTGACAAAAATGTCAAACAATTTTGCCACAGAAGAACACTATACTGCACATATTCTTGGGAGGGTTTTTGCCACTTCTTGAATCTCTAACTCTATTTTTATCAGCATCTATCTCACCTGTCTGAACGAGAGGCAGTGCACTAGATAAAAAGGAGGAATTTATGAGAGGATTTTAATTTTTATTGGTGCCGCAACCGATGGGCAGCATGACAAGAGTTGTAGTGACAGAGCTAAATGATGTGTCTGGTGTGCTGCAAAGATGAGAGAAAACAGCAACAGAAGGGAAAACACAATATGAAAGAAGGAATAACGAAGCTGCTTCTATGTTAGAGAATCTGACTCATTAAAAAAAATGTGGCGTGCACCTTAAAAAAAAAAAAAAAACTTAATGACATTTTTTTATCGCCATATTTTCAGCTAAATTTTTTTCCCACAGCCACATTTAATTGTGGATTGTTCACTGTTGTTATTGCTTCATAACAGTTTCTTTTCCCACCACGTTGCAACAGAGATGGGTTCCAACACACAGACTTGGCAACAGTTGCCTAAATTTAAGACCTAAAATTAAACTGCATGGAAATTACTCCATGTCAAGAAAAAGTTCTCAGCAATCTCCATTTAGGTGAACCAGTAGCCAATAACTTTGAGGAATTTCACCCACTGTAGTTAATCCTAAAAGACTAACCAATCAGCTGATATCATGATTTTAGAGATGTCTCTAAAAGTATTGTTAAGGACACTCTTCCAGTACTTGCAGTCAATGCACAATTACACCTTATTGATTTTTTCTTTTACGTACAGATCAAAATCTTCTTTAAACTGAGAGTTTGTTTTCATTTTAATGAAACATAAGCTTTTATTGACTTTTAATCAAAACTAGACTCAAAGTATTTATTTATTAAACCTGGCTAATTGTAGAATGTTTTGGAGCGGTAGACCCAATAAGTGGTTCTAACACAGTGCATCGCAGTTCTGATCCTTGAGGTAAAAAAAAAAAAAAAAAAAAAAAAACTATAGTTGCCATATTTGTTCGATGCTGTCTGTAATACATATAGTTCAGTTAATATGATCAATAATATGAATCAAAGGCAGCAGCAGCCCATCAGAATTATATTAGGAGTTATTTAAAAAGTATATATTTAGAACAATTGAGTAATTTTTACTTATGTTTACTAACTGGGTAATAATAATTGATTTACATCAGTCAATGCTGTTGTAAATCACAGAAGTTGCTGATATGAATCAGGATATTTCACTTCTTTTACGCCTGTCACATAAGCTAAACTGAATCCATGCGACAATAAAAAAAAAGGTGCCATATATGCTTTGTTGTTTCCAAAGACTGAATACATTTGTGAAGGATTCACAAGACTGCTGTAAATATATCTAACCACAGTTTGACTCATTGTGTTGATGGGATTTTTATGTCTCAATAAAAGCTACAGACAAATGTTCTTGTAATCTCAGCCTCGCATCAGAAATGAGCCTGGACAACTTCCAGCATTAAATAGCTGTTAAATAACAAAGCAACACTCACAGCATAAAGGCAAACAGGCTGGAGTCCAGAAATGTACACCTTTAATCTAACTAGAGACTTAAATCAATCTCAATTTACAAATGATAACTTGCAAATGATCTTTTAGACAATGTTGTGCAGCAGATAGATTCATCAATAGAGAAATGATTCTGCAGCAAATAAAGAAAAAGGGCAACAACAAAGGAAAACGTAATGCACATTAAAGCGGGAAAAAATTATTTCTAGTTTATTCAAAGCTCCTTTCTTGACATTTCATCTAATGAAAGATTTTGCATATTACAAACTCAAAGTCTAGAAGCCCTGACTTAAAATGTAAAACTTTTGATGAAAACACAAACCTAACTTTAGTTAACATTTGACTCTATTAAGCCACCAAACTATGACCCAAAGTTAATGGATGACAATGTGAACTTTCTATGGGGCGGAGGGCACTTAGAAGGGCGGAGTGACTCCTCGTCACCCTCATTTACCGCTGGCTCGCTAACGAAAGATGACAAATAAGATGAGAAAGGAAAGGTGGGAGGGGGGCAGCTTAACAAGTCCTGTAATTACTCATTCACGACTTTCATCTTCTTTGCAGACTCTCCTATCGAACCGGGCAGGACACCGCCAACTGTGACACATGCCGGAACAGCGCATGCATTATTTACAGGTGAGTGATCGTTCATCTTTAAAGACAGAGAGATTCCACATGTAACCTGTCCTTTCTCCTTGAGAGGAAGCTATAAGGTGAAACAGGCCAGGTCGAGCAGAGGGGGAGGGACAATTGATGTGAGGCTAGTGTGAAATGCTGCTCATTAGCGCTGAGAGGGCATGGGACATTCACACAGCAGCATTTCTCTCAAAACCTATACCTCTTTGCCCGACTGTCCAATTATCTCCTCACACCATTTTATGCACCAAATGGTGCCAAGCAGGTGTGCAGTTAGCAGGACAAAAGGGTGAACGGCGGAAATGTGGAGAGGTTGCATCCAAGGAAATTGAGTGAACCCAGGACAGTGAAAGGTTAAATTAATTAATGTCAAACGTCATAAAATATTCTTAGGTGCAGTTGCTGTGCAGACTCAAACTCAAAGCTTAGCCTCCAACGCCTTTACTTTATAAGCTGTGAAGATATGAGTACAAAGCCATCAGTTAACCCGAATACAAAGGCTGCATCTTTTTATGAACTTATTATCACAGGAGTTGCAGTTTGAGAGATGGCTCTTAAATGGGGGCTTTTGAACAGCAAAAGAAAAAAAAAATTTTTTTTTATAAGCTTATTGCGAAAAAGGCTAAACTGGCTTTAGACATAATTTAGTAGCAGCTCAGTTTTGTTTTGTTAAAATGGGGGGCAGTCGAACTTCTGACACATGGATGAATGTTTTAAAAGCTTATAACATTTAGATAGTGACCTGGTCAAATTTATACCCCCCCCACCTTTGTATGTGGTAAATATATGCACACCTTTGCAGAGCAAATGCTTTCCATTTATTAAGCAAATGAGACATTTACAGAGGTGCCTTAAAGCAGCATAAGTGCAGTCAGAGGTCTGATTCCAACTGGAAATTTGCTTCTCCATTCAACTGGGATTTGATGTGCATCTATTCAAATACATTTATAGGTATTTTCATATATTTGAACAACATATGGACATACCTGTCATGGGGACCTCTGAGGGTGACTGTTTATTAGACAACATGTCACTCAACACATCTAAAAAAAAAAAACACATTGTTGCATTGAGGGGTAGTTGGATATTGAACTGGTTTGGAGAGTCACGGTCTGAACTTCTGTGCAGTGAACAATTTGAACCAGCTAATAAGCCATTAATCATTATCTGTCAGCAGGATCTCTGAACATCCCAACCTCTGTGTTCTTCTACTTGCGATACTTTTTGCAGCAGTTCCAACACTGCCATCCTTGCACAATTACGCATGCCTTGACTCAACTATTAATGGATATGTGTGATTGCCTTCACATTGTCCACCTGATTAATCATCATGTCAGACTTGTTTGGAATTAGTGAGCTGATTTGCCACCTGTTTGTGCCCCTTGATATAAACATGGTTTAAACAGCATTATCCTTGGCGCACAGACTCAAAAACATTCCTCTGATTTTCATTCAAAGCAACTACAGTCACATGAATGTACAGAAAACATTTTTATGTCAAAGCAATGGGTTCCTTTTAATTGGAAAGTGGTTTTATCTAAATATGGGCTGGAACACAATGTGTTAAATGTGAAGAGGTTGGGCAGAAGGGTCAAGGATGGAGGTCGAAAAACTTGTGAGGTGAAAGCAAGACAAAAGTCCCTACATGCCAATGGTTACATTTAGAAGTGAAACAAACAAACAAAGCTGCTATTTAAATGAGCTTTGGGTTTGCCCCTTTCGTAAATGCGGATGCTAGAGGGAAGATTTTGCTCAAAAACGGGCTGCACTTAAACATAAAATTTACCATGTTAAAACTTCTAAAACTCTCATTAAGAACACCAAGTGGTTAGCTTGAATCAAATTTATTCAAATTGCACATTTTGCATTAAAATGAAAGTCACCCGTTAGAATTTGATTATGCTTTTATTCTAAGTTGGTGTTCTTCCAATTTGTTACTTCTTTCCCCATGGCACAGGAAAAATAAAACAGATTTTTTATATGCTCTTTCTTTCATCTTTTCTACTTTTTTTTCCTTTACTGTTCTACTTACATTGCAGTGTCTATAAAATATGTAATACTCCCTGCAAGAATTATAATAAAGCTATTTATGTGTATAAATCAAGCGGAACACTATAGCGATGGCCGTACTGCTCCACTTGTGAAAGTAAAATCTGTTGGGCTCTTTTCCGCATCAAGACACTTATTCTTATTGCCACATCCCCAGACAGGACACTGTTAAAAAAGTAAAAAAATGAAAGAAAAACAAAGCTGATGCATAAAATTACAATTACTTTATACTCTGCTTAAGAAATATTATTTGAACTCAAATTTATAGTAATTGCCGCTTTTAAAACTACAATAGGGACCGGCAAAAATCCATGTTGAAGGTTATTGGAACAAACATTTGACAGTCATCCAATGAAAAACATTGATGTTATTGTTCCCAACCAAGGGCCTGGTTCCAGATGAAACATTCTCAAGATTGGCAAAGATATTCTGATGCAAGCTGAGGAAGAATATGTCACAGTAGTCTGTAGGCAGAAAAGTAGTCAAAAAGTCAGGGAGAAAGAGGTGTGAAATAGACAAAGTAAGATTTATATGGTATGAAGAGGGTAAAAGCTGCATATAATGGTCGTTGAGGCTCAACGCTGTCTGAATCTCTCCTCCTGAGAACCATTTAAATCAAATTCTATCTCAAACTCTCTCAATAACTGATAAGCCTCTGGCTAAACTTCAATCGTGATGTACTGTACAGCTCTGTGCCCTCTGATGTCTGAGTTGAAGGAGGTCCATACCACCTTGAAGTACTTTTAAAATCCCACCACGCGGATGACAGCACAGGAAAGGTGCTTTAAAAGAAGTTCAGCATCAGTGGGTTGAGCCAAGTCTAGGTGAATAAGGGCATTTGATATGATGTACACAGATGGGACACTAATTAAAGGAGATGCTCAGGGCACAGCGTTGATCTGATGGCCGCTAAAGCAATCCTTTATAATAAATGTATAAATCTTTTCCCCATTACTAAACTGTACCCTGAGATGAAGGTTTGATTGATGAATATAATTTAATAACATGAGAATAAAAGGTGCTTTTATTTGATCATCCTCCAATGAAAAGTATCCATCAGCTTTAAAGACATTAAACTCGTCATAGTTTTTCTTCCACATCATACAAAGCTTTCAGAGAGAATATTCTACATAAAAATAACCTACAATAAAAAGAAAAATATCCACATTTGCAAAAACTGCACCAATCCATTGAAAAGCCACATTCTTTGGAGGCAGAGAAGAAGAAAGCAACTCCCCTCATAATGAGGCAAACCTCATAAGCACTTGGCCATGCTCCAGCTTGATAAAGGGCAGAAATTTAGCAAAGAGCCATTTGAAATTTGCAAAATTGACCGGAGTTCATCTTTAAGACACTCGCTGACATGGTTAATGGTGTTGATTGGACACAGAATCAAATATAGCAGTTGTATTCACAGAGGCAGGGGGGATTAGGCAGCAATCTAATTACTCAGATCTCCATGAAAACAACCTCTCTGGAGGTGGAAGAACATAGGATAGGAAGCAGAGGCAGAGGAAGAAAAAGCAGCGTTCTGCTATGTGGAAAGAATAGCTGTCAGTGGTGTCTAGCAGGTTTTTCTTCCTTTTTTGGCGCCTTCTACCATTGAAGTCCAGTTTTAATATACAATTTTGTAAGCACAGTATGTGGTGAAACTCTTTATGTTTAAGACAGTGATTGCAAAAAAATGTACGGTAATTTCTAGAATGTTACAATTTTTATGCGACGAGGAATCCTTAGTGGATAAAAGGTATGAATTAAAGGTTGAGTGGAGGATGTTTTTCCATCAAAATAAGTGGTCATCCTAATTGTCAATCATTCTGGTGATGTGTTTACGTAAGGCCGTCCGACCTGCTCATCCCCAGTTAGCTATTTTTTTCCCCGCATATGCACTTTCAGGTGTATATCTATTGTGAGATACAGTTTCAGCCAATCATTGAAGCTCGCCTTTCTCACCGATGTTCTTTGAAAATAGCCGGGGGTCGTAAGAGAAAAACTGTCTACAAAGTGTGTGAGAAGAAAAGAAAGGCCTCAGAAAAGAGAAACAAGACTAGAGTGTTTTTGGGAGATTCTTTCCTGCTATCGCAAACACTGAAAGCACAGGTCAGGCTTCCCCTTTTAAGTCAAATGCATGAAACTTGAGAATCCAGCCTTATTTTAGGAAATCAGAATCATTTTAAAAACTTCTATATTTGTGGTTCTCTCAAAAGATATATAAAGCAGCTGATTTCTACACAATGGTAGGAGCACCTGGAATAACAAGGAACAAGAGGAACAATATATAAAATACAAGGCAGTAAACCAAAGCCTCTCAGTGAGGGCAAAGGGTTCACTACATACTAAAAAAAACATTGATGATACAAACTATGCAAACATTTAATAAAAGCCACAAATCAAACTAAATACATGTCCTTTTTCTGCCCTCGGTAAGAGATCTACTGAAATCAGTCATCCTTTCATGATGAACACTTTTAAGATGAGTGAACATCTCCAACATTATTTTGGTGTTGAGACAAAATTTTTGAACTGTGCTTTAAAAAAATGCAGCTTAAAAAAAGTTAAAAAGGCAAAATCTGAATAGAACCGGGGATCTTTCAACAAATTCCCCAAGAAAAATAAGCCAGGATGCTAGTGCTTACTTTAAAAAAAAAAAAAAAAAAAAAACAAAATCAGCCAACTGGAAACTTGCAAACCTAGTTGAAGAAAAAAGTTTGCGAATTTTTTTAAAAGATCCGTCCTCTCCAAAAAAAAAAAAAAAAACGTACATGTACAACCCTGTACCCACTCCCCAGAGGGAAAGCCTATTAAACACGTGCGAGAGCATGCACAAGCCCTTTTCTCGTTGTGGACGCTCTTTTTAAAATTTGCTGTTCTTGTAGCTCATAAAGCTTATTGTTACTGAATGTCCACCCAGACCCCTAAATCCCTCAATCACTATATAGAGCGGATATATA